TTTGTTAGGAGGCCATATGAAAGGAATGCGGTCGCTCGGATAGGATACAGTCCTCAACACTCTCTCACTTGGTTAATTGCATTGTTAAATGAACACTGTAAGTAGTACTCTTACAATATGCGCAATTATCGCGAATAATATCTTGTTACGCGCTTTGATTGACCAGTTTAGAGGCAGATACATATCTTTACTCTTGAAAGAATGATGAAAGAGTAGACAGTTTTGTCACCAGAAGATACTTCAAATAGAAACTTCGTTTCAGGAGAATTGAAAAATCATACCTCATTATGCAACGTTTCATAGAAGTTTTACTTAATACTTTTTAGCCGTTCAAACATGATTCATTAGAATGCGATTTTTAGCAAGCCCTTCTCAATTATTTGTCGTATCGCCATTTCGTCGATCTGCTTTGGGTTAAACCTTAGTTCACGACCGTTAGGATATGTTTAAAGCGAATTCGAGATCTGTTTTCTTTTTTGTAACACAGCTAAACTCACGGATGGCCGTACTCTTCAGCCTGACGGTCATAAAACTTTGACTCAAATCAAGAACAATTAGCATAATTGCTTTTGAATTGTTTTCTTTTTCACCATCTAACTTGGTACATTTGCATTTTTGCAAATTATACTAACTTAGTTATTATCAAGCGTATTCGCTTGACTTCCAAAAATAAAGAAATGTTTATGCAAGCCTTGGCTGGTCCGATTTAGTTGGTTATATCCCACTGAGCTGTTATTTCGGAAAACTTAGCTAAACAAATGCACAATTTTCCACATTTGAATTTTCAGATAGCTGAATCAGCCATGAAACAGCCATGTTTGTTGTACACTTCAAATAAACGAGTGACGGCACTTCAGAAAATCCGTGAAAAGGTAATTAAATATCATTCTGTTTACTTTCAATGTTTTTTGATAAACTTGGCTAAATAAAGAAAGCAGTTCATCGGAAATTACCTTGGTAATAGAGGCTATTCAGCAAACATGTGTCAAAATTCTTCCCATACTCACAAACGCCTTACAGAGACCAATTTAGTTGGACCAAAACAGTGATTTCTTTTAATACACGACATCATTTTGAGATAAATTTAGATATAATTTACACAACCTTGGGGCTTACGATGTTTCTACAACTTTATTTAGTACAGCTCTGCAAAAAGCCGCATGATTTATTAATTGAAACGTGTTTTTTTGTTGTTGTTGTTTTTTTTGTCATTTCCAGAGTAGCGGCGCTGACTTAGATGGACTTCTGCCATCGCATAAATTTTTCGAGACGTTTTTATTTGTATTAAACATATTTTTCCTCTTCTTACTTTGACACAACTGAAAATGTGTCTAATTAAAGATTCGAATTTTCATGTGCTTTATTTTACAAAAATATCAGACAAAACTTGTAAAGGAAATTCACGTCTTAGATTAACCCTTAATATAACCTAACTTAATCTGTTTCTCAAATACACCTAGCCAACAGTGAAAAGATTCCCAAGCTCATGTAACTTTAGTGCTTTTCGGTTTAGTGGGAAGAGAGATGAAGGATCGATCTGTCAGTTCAGGATAGATGCGTAACAATCGATAAACGTTGCAGCCTCGTTAGTGAGGAGAACGAAAAACTCATTTGTCGGTTCTTCGTGTTTAAGTAGTACACACTGATTGCTTTGGTTTACACGCTGAGGTTTATTGCAAATCGTTGCCAATAANGGTTTATAATCCCACTTTCCGTTGTGTACCCGCTGCTGTGTTTTTTCAAAGTTCTGTCTGAAGGCCCTCCCAAGTTTGGCCTCATTGTTTCTGGGGTGAACACACCCCCTCTTCCCATTCCATGCCACATCGGACCTCGTATCATATTAACAGTACTCTGGCCACCTAACCATTTGAGAGTTTTAAAAAAACTCAATGACTTGAGGATCCCATGAATATTCTGAAGGGGTTATATACACTTGCACGACTCCTTTGACGTACTTATAGAAAATTCCATTTTTTGGTATTTTCCCTCGTTTAATAAGTTTGTCCAATGTTAAAGCGACTTCATCAGCTTGTTGAACACATACAGGAAGCATATTATAATATTTGTAATTGACTTCAAATGGTTCACTAAGGGCCTCAGTATCCTCGTCATGCATTTCATTATCAAGCAGCAGAGATTCTGCATCAATGCCCATATGTGTAGATTCGAAATCGAAATCAAGATAAAATTCTTCTGTATCATATACACGTTCTTCACTGTCTACACCACTGAGACCTTCATCAAATGCATAAAGATCATCACTTGAAGAGGCACACATTATGTTTGGGTTCCCATTAATTATTTCAAGTTGATCTGTGACTGGCTGGAAGGTGTGGAAACACACTGTTACATTCAGACCATTCAGAGTCTATTCCAGCCAGAGAGTCTTCTGATATAACATTTATTCCTTCAGTTGATATACTTCCAAATAATGATGAAACTCTCAAATACAAAGACAGAAATTAACATCAACAATGTGTCTACCATGTGCGTCTAAGGTTTTGGTGGATTTGGCGAGATCGGCGGCACCGACATCTCTGCTATACCACTTTCCACTAGAATACATTGCAGTGAGATGGTTTTTTAGCAGGTTTCTTTTTTTTTTGTTAAGAGACGACAAGAAATATAAGAACAGATATGCTAAGCAATAGTCCGACGGTAAATGTTATCAAGATATAATTATCTTAATTACTTTTGAAGACAGCTTAATTAAAGAATACTGCATTTGGATTTCCTGTCGGGCGCAAAAAGTCACTATTGACCATAGGCCAAACAGCTTCCACGTCTCGTCTCAGCAGATGGTAAATAATGCTGCTGTAAGTAAAAAATCTAACCTGAGCTTTCCTTTCTATTAAAGGAAACCCTTTGAGTTTTGTCGAAGTATTATAGCGAAAATGCATTAACACCTCGTTACGGCAGCAAGCATTGAGCATCCCTTTCGATACAACCAACAACGATGTTGTTATCTAACTTTGCTCTCCTGCAGCGCCTCTGTTTCTTTATGCTTTATAACCTTATGAAATCCTTTGTCGACCCTATCAAACTATAAAGTTATCACTCGATAAATGACAAACCATGTCATACTATAGAAAACACGTAGGTTACACCACCTCAAACAACAGTTGCAACGAGACGGACAAGCCGATAGCTCCTTGTATTCTCGTAACACTTAGCATTAAATCAAAATACTCGTAACCGTGGGGACGAGAATGGCCTTGAAAAGGAGGCTACCTCATAGGCCAAACTTGCGCATACATGGGTTGGTCAAGAAGTTTCTGGACCTTTCAGTTTAAGTAAAAATAGTGCGTGCGACTTTAAACAAAATTTTTCCTACTTCAACACGATTATTCATGTAAGTATTTTGTGTTTTATCTATTTTAGCTTGTCTATCGGCACAGGAAATTTATGATGTAAAGTAAGGATCCCGCGGCAACGTTTCATTTGTTGATCGCAAAAAGATGTTTGTGAGAAAAATAGACGGTATTTAGAGAAAAAGGCAATGGGAGTTATTGGATCTCACATCTTAGATCTCTAAAGATTGAATTCAAACTTGTCTGGAAAAAAAACTTTCCCCAGGTCTTATGAAGAAATTTAGTAACGAAGTAAGGCACTTTCTTAACCTTACGGGGAACTTTAGCAACGAAAGGGAGCTTTGATGACGAAAAAGGGAACTGAAGTAACATGACCGGAAACCTTATGTA